GCAATGGACCTATGCTCATGGAATTCACTGGTCTTACCATGTTCCCCATCATCCAGAAACACCTGGCTTGACAGAACAATGGAATGGCCTACTGAAAACACAATTATAGCACCAGCTAGGTGGCAATAGCTTGAAGGGTTGAGGCAATGTTCTCCAGGAATCTGTACATGCTCTAAACCAGTGTCCAATATACAGGGCTGTTTTTCCAATAGCCAGGATTCATGGGTCCAGGAAACAAGGGGTGAAAATGGGAGTGGTATCACTCACTATTACACCTAGTAACCCACTCCAAAAATGTTTGCTTCCTGTCCCTGATACCCTATGCTCTGTGGGTCTGAAGATCTTCGTCACAAAGGGAGGAACGCTCCCACCTGGAGACACAATACTGATTCCATTGAACTGCAAGTTAAGAATGCCACCTAGCCATTTTGGCTTCCTCATGCCTCTGGATCAACAAAGAAGGGCATTACCGTACTATCTAGTGTGATAGATCCTGATTACCAAGGGGAAATTGGACTGACATTACATAATGGAGGTAAAGAAGACTATGTTTGGAATACAGGAGATGCTTTAGGATGTCTCTTAGTACTACCATGCCCTGTGATTTAAAGTCAATGGAAAATTACAGCAACCCAATTCTGATATGACTACTAATGGCCCAGACCCTTCAGAAATGAAGGTTTGGGTCACCCCACCAGGCAAAGAACCACGACCAGCTTAGGTGCTTGCTGAGGGCAAGGGAAATACAGAATGGGTGGTGGAAGAAGACAGTTCTGAATATCAGCTATGACCATGTGACCAGTTGCAGAAATGATGACTGTGACTGTTATATTTCTTCATTTTGTATGTGCATCAAATATTTTTGTTTCTTTCTGTTTACAACTGTGAAACATAAATAAGGTTAATGCGTTTCGATTGTACACGTTAGTTAGCATACCATGTTAGGCACAAATATGACTTTATAATTGTGCTTACTTAGAGATTATATATAGTTAAGAAGATCTGTACAACTGCCAAGTTGACAAGGGGTGGACTGTGATAGTTGGATCTGTGTGTCAACTTGGCTGGATCACAATTCTGTGTGCTTTAAGCAATTATGATGCGGGTTATTCCCATTAAGGCATCGGATGTATATGTTTTGAGCAGGCAGTCCATCGAAAGGGAGTTTCCCTAGGGGTGTGGCCTGCTTCCAATATGTTTATGGACATCCTGGGAAAAAGAGATACTCTTCTGTGGATCGGGATCCTGTTGTGCTGCTTACCACTGTCTGTGAGTGAACAATCCACCATTCAGCCTGGAGATTTTGGATTTGTTATTTGTTGGAGTCAAAGCCGGTATACTGCCTGCCAACCTTGAGCTCATCAGCCACTGCAGCTCCATGAGTCGGGAAAAGCCTCCAGCTTGACATTTGATCCAAGAACTTGGGACTTGCTGGTGGAGAATGCTTAAAGTACCATGGACTGCTAAAAGAACTAACAGATCTGTCCTGGAGGAAGTGCAGCCAGAATGCTCCTTGGAAGCAAG